AGTTCCTTGACATTATGCAAAAGGGTGCTCACACAAACAATCAGGGAAACCTTGAATTTCTTCTACCTTTCAAACAAAACCCGAGCTAACAACCGACTTTCGGCACTCAATCACTTTAACAATCTCCAGAACCAGCTCAAATGTAAACCAGAAATGATGCAACAGTACCTGCAGTTCATGGGCAAAGTCATCGAACGTAAACATGCTAGTGCAGTTCCAAAGTCAGAATTGGACGATACGAGTAGTATTCGACTCAAGCGCTAGATTTAATGGTGTCTCACTGAATGATGCACTATTTCAGGAACCTGATCAGATGAATAGCCTACTTGGTGTTATACTGTGATTTCGTCTCAAGCCAGTAGGTACAATGGGCAACGTGGAACAGATGTTTCACAGCTTTCATGTCAACAAGGAACACCGTGATTATCTTCGCTTCTTCTGGTTCAAGGACAACGACCCCATGAGACCTGTGATACAATATCATATGAATGTTCACCTATTTGGGAACATTTCCTCTCCTGCCATAGCCACATTAGGCCTAAGAATGATTACCACAGAAAACCAATCCACCTATGGTGAAGACGTGAAAGACTTCATACTTCATTTCTACGTAGATGACGGTTTAACATCTCAACCTGATGCAGCAACAGCAATTAGCCTCATCAAAAGAACAAGAGACATGTTAGCCACCAAGAACATTAATTTCCACAAAATAGTCTCCAATGACAAGGATGTTATGATCGCCCTCCCAAGTGAAGTACGCGCCAAGGACCTGCAATGTCTAGATTTTAGTCAAGACACTCTACCCTCACAGCAATCACTCAGGATACAATGGTCCCTTCAAGCGAACACTTTCACATTCAAAGTGGACTTAAAGGACAATCCATTCTCATTGCGGGGAGTATTAGCGACCATAAACTCTATCTATGACCCAATAGGAATAATAGCCCCAGTTACAATAGAAGGGAAGTGCATTCTCAAGGGACTCATGTCAGAAATGCCAAAGGGACGTGAGATGGCCAGCATTGGATGGGACGATCCACTTCCAACTGAATACCTATCTCGCTGGTTTACATTCCACCTGATTTAGGTTCCATAATTCAAAGTGAATGTGATGTATTTTCCGATGCGAGCAATGCAACCATAGCAGCTGTCTCTTATATACGACTAGTGAACCAAGATGGTAAAGTTCATGTAGCAATTCTTCTTGGCAAAGCTAAAGTCAATCCCTCACATGCCGTGTCAATTCTTCACTTAGAACTTTGTGCAGCTGTTTTAGCAACACAATTGGCACAACAGGTGGCTATAGAAATTAGAAAAGTACTATAGACCGCATAGTTTATCACACTTACAGTACAATCGTCCTTGGCTACTTGAGCAATCGATCGAAGCGCTTCCACTTATATGTGGCAAATTGAGTACAGAACATACATAATGTATCTTCACCAAACCAATGGCGACATGTGTCCACTGAACAGAATCCAGCTGATTTCGCAATGAGATCTGTTTCAGCCCAACAACTGATGTCTACTGATTGGCTTACAGGCCCTTCCTTCCTATGGGAATCCGACTCCACGTCTGGACCCACAACAGAAATCATCCAGTATGCAATAACAGAAGAAGACCCAGAAGTTCGAAAACAACCATGCATCCTAGCCACATCTGCCAAACAGCACAAGTCTAATGGTAATGGTCTAGGGTATGATAGATTCCGCCAATTCTCAACATGGACTGCTCTTAAGAGAGCAGTAGCAACCCTTATAATCAAGCTACAGAATCACCAGAGTGACAATAGTGAACTTCCATCGATGATTGTCACCGCTGCATGTGCAGAGATCATTATCCTCCGCACAGTACAAGAAGAGGCTTATCCAGATTAACTCAAGGTATTGATGATTGCAGACACAGCTGATAATGGTAACAATAACATAAAACGAACAAGCCTACTGTATTAAATCAACCCATTCCTGGACAAGGATGGACTCATTCGTGTTGGAGGCAGACTTCGTCAAACCGATCTTGATCTTTGCGGCCACCATCCTATACTACTCTCAAAAAACAGCCACATCTCTCGACTTATCGCTGAATACATTCACAGAGAGACTGGACACCAAGGTCGTCAACTCACACATGCAGCAATCAGAGCAAAATGTTTCTGGATTCCTAGCCTACATGACTTAGTAAGAATCATCCTATATCAATGTACAACTGCAGAAAGCTGAGAGCGAAATGTCTAATGCAAGTGATGGCAGACCTTCCAGCAGACAGAGCTGAAAAAAACCCACCATTCACAAATGTGGGGATGGATGCCTTCGGCCCCAGGAGTGTAGTGAACAGGAGAACGAGAGGTGGTTCATCAGGAGCCAAACGATGGGCTGTGATCTTTATATGCCTTTATACACAGCCATACACATCGAGATCATCAACTCAGTGGATACTTCCGCCTTCATCAACGCACTGCGTCGCTTCATAGCCATTCATGGTCGTGTTAAGAAACTGAAATGTGACCAGGCCACCAACTTCATAGGAACGAAGAACGAACTAAACGCAGCACTCAAAGGACTTGACCAGCATCAAGTGCAAAGTGCCAATGTGAATGTTTGTTCAATCCACCTCATGCCTCACATTTTGGGGTCATATAGGAGAGACAGATTGGTACCGTCAAACAAGTCCTTAACTCCATGTACCTCCAACTTGGCAAACCGCAGTTCATGCATGATTTGCTTTCCACACTAATGGCCAAAGTTTCCGCCATAGTCAATGCTCGATCCATAACCACCATATCTTCCGATGCCAATGACCCGCTGGCACTCAGTCCTCGTATGCTTCTCACTATGAAGACGCAACAAAAACACCCTTCTCCAGGTACATTCATTCAGCAAGACATGTACAGCAGGAAAAGGTGGCGTCACGTACAGTATCTTGCCGACCAGTTCTGGGTGCGGTGTAGGAAGGAGTTCCTACAAAGCCGTCAACCAATGACGGAAGTGGAACAAGTCTACTGCAAACATCAATGAAGGAGACGTTGTCCTGTTGAGAGATAAAGAATGCTCTCGCATGACTGGCCTCTCGCATGTGTCGTGAAGACATACTACAGTGATGACAACAAGATCAGAAGAGCTGACATCATGGTTTGTAGAGACAACGTAAGAAGAATCTACCAGAGACCAATTGCCGAACTCGTTTTGATCCAAAGTAACAAAGAGAACAATTCTGAACATTAGTTGTTTGATTGTAATTACGTTTAGTGTTAGTGTTCTAGCGTTTAGTAAAAATTACCTCTATCGCTCATTTTTAGACGAGGAGTGTGTTGGACGCTTTTTCAGTTTCAACATTATACCGCCCTCTTTAGGCGCGGGCGTTACGTTCAGTGTAGGTCAGAGTTCGTTATAACTATTATGGGCCAGAGTCTTAAACGCGTATGCTAAACGCGTTTCGTAAGACTGAAGATCGCTACATAAAGTCCTTCTAAAAGATCACTAGACTCAGCGAAGTAAGTTATTTTCTGAATTAATTGACTCATGAGCTGATCAGGCCACCTTAGCGCCGAGTGTCATAAGTTGATAAGTGTATTTTTCGCAATTTCCATACATTTTCTGTAAGTCGTTCACGCTCGTTCGTTCAGTCAGCGATGGCGTCATTTGAAATGTGATTTCTTTATCCTGTTATAGTTTTTACCGCTATCTTGAATAAACTGGTTACCCTAACGCAACTGTGTACGAGTTATTTGAGAAGTGGTCGACACCAGTACGAGTACTAATGCACTTGGACCTCGGAATAATTATTAGCCTTCAAGTTACTAACAACTAAGAGAGCCTTTTCCTAGTGCACATAACAAAAGTTTTTCCATTATAATGTAATCATGGGTCCAAGTTATACTAAAACCAAATCAAGTCATTACAATGTAATC